TGTTTGGGCGGGAGATCCACGAAATTTCATTTTTTTTTTTTAAAATCTTAGCCGTTAGATGTCCAACAGCTCATCTGAACCATTGCAAGTAGGGAATGGAGGAGGGGCCTCAAGGAGAGGATCCAGACTCCATGTCCAGAGTCTAGTCAGCTTTTGAAAAAGGAGTTTGTAGCCCTTTTTAGATGCCTACTTTCCAGAATTGGGCTTACCCCAAAGTTTTTTTTTTTTTAAAGTCGATTATGGTATGACTTGGCAATTTGATTTTTTTATTTTATTTATTTATTATTTGAAACAAAGTAGATACCTTTGATAATTGTTAAAAAATTATTATTATTATTATTTTTTGAAAGTTTGTGGATCATTTTAAGCTTTTGTTTGTTTGCCTCTCCCCCTCTCCCCCCCTCATTTTTCTTCTTCTTCTTCTTCTTCTTCTTCTTTCTCTCTCTCTCTAATAAAATTATCATTTATCCTCACTAAGTTGTGAAACCCTTATTAAAAATTATCAAAATGTTGAGGCTAAAATAGTCGTCGTACAATTCTGTTGAGATTTTTCAACAAAATTGTTTTTTTTTAAAATTAATTTTTTTTTTTTGAAGAAGTTTTTTTTAACCAAACCAAACAACTTATTTACTGTAGATTTTAGCCAAAAAACAACTTATTTAGAGTGGGGATGGCAATTTTCATCTATCTCGACCTCCCATGTCCCGCTCCACACGGGTTTTGCTCCCCGTCTTGCTTTACCTCACCCCTGTTTGTATGTATGTAATACATATATATATATATATATATAATTTAATTATTTTCAAAATAACAAGACTAAAATATTAAAATATTACATTTAATATTCATTTTTACTCATTTATTTATCATGTTACATTTTCTTTAACTCTTATTAATTGAAAATTATTATCTGTGATTTATAAATTTTATTAGTCTTCCTTTTTTTAAAAATTCTAAAATTAACCTATTTTATCTTGCCTTGTCCCCAGCATCTCCCCAATTTGCTCCGCTCCTAGTATCATGCAGGCAAGGGCAAAGGATTACAAATTCACCCCAAATCCATCCGATTGCAATGGCTACCTATGTAGGATACTCTATACCAAGGAAGTGAATGGAAAGGACTAACCTAATTGGCTAGCTTTTTGGCCACCAAGTCTCTCTTAAGGGAGAGTTTTTGGGTTCCACTTTTAGGAATAGAATACGAGAACAAAATCTTCTTGCAAGGTGTATGGGTGTGAGTTTCAACTCCCTAGAAATGCCAATCTAACAATTAACCATTAGTTTTGGCCGATAAAAAAAAAAAAAAAAAAAACTACATGGGCTCTTAGAATCCATGCATGCTTAGGTGACATGTTGCCTGGTTTCATGTGGAGGTGGCACAGAGATGAGAGAAGAAAAAAATAAATTCATGACTAAGATTTGGCCCTACGACCACTTAAGATCTAGATTTGATACAATATTAGAATTATTGAATGTATTTAACTCAAATTTGACATTAGCTGGAGAGGCTTTCACTATATTAATCATACCTAGATAAATTAGAAAGGGGATATTGATAATTAAAATATTGGAAAAATTACAATTAAAAAAAAAAAAAAGACCCTAAAATTTGATCTTTATAACAAAATAATCTTTGAGTTTTTAATTTTATTAATTTAAAATTTAAATTTTGGATTTGATTTTTTAATCTAAACTATTAGTCTATTTTTGTTAAGTAAAATTGATAAAAAAAAAAATATTTTAATCATTAGCTAGGTGTACATAAAATGCTTAAAGTATTTATTATTATTATTATTATTTTTTGAGTTTAATGTCTAAAATATATATTTGTTCAAACAATTTTATTTAATGAAAATAGATAAATGGTTTATATTAAAAACAAATCAAAAGCTTCGGATTTAAATTGATAAATTCAAAATTTATTTTGTTACAATAATCAAACTTTGATTTTTTTTTTTATTTATATAATTTTCTCATTTTATTATATTGATCATTTATCTTCTATGCTCAAAGAATTAAAATATAAAAATATTTAAATATAATATTTTGATTGACTCGATTATGATTGATTTTGGAGGTAGGATCCTCTTCATGGCCCCCTACTTAGTGGGCCCTTGGGTCCACTTTTGGATTTAATTTTGATAATTCAAACCGTTCATATTTTAAGATTTTTCGAATATGTCATATCTGTAAAAAATCAAGTTGATCGAATATTGAAAACCACGTGTTTGGATCATCGAACTAAAAATTGTTTATTAAAAAAAATTTAATAAACATTTATCCGAACACGTGGTTTCCAATATCCGATCGACTTGATTTTTTATAGGTATGATATACTCAATAAATTCTAAAATGTGAACGGTTCGGATCATCGAAATTAAGCCGAAAGTGGGCCCAATGGCCCACCAAGTAAGGAGCCAAGGAGAGGATCATTGCTCTTGATTTTGAGCTATCAATTGATTTCATCAATTTATCCTACAGTTCTAGAGTATGAATAATCAATGATGTTTTGTTAAAGAAAAATCCTATGGTGTGCACCCCTTTGTTCAATGGGTTGGATTTTTTTCAGGTTAAGATCTCAATATGAGAGAACTTAAGGGGCCTCTAAGGCCCCATCACGAGTCTCATTTCAATTTTTCAAACCATTCATTTTGTAGGGCTCTCAATATATAATATCTATCAAAAAATGTAAGTCAATCCGATAATCGTAACCTTTTTATTTTAGAGCATTTGTCTCTAAAAAAATAGATAATTTATTTCAAAAATATATTTGTCGTCTTTTTTTTTTTTTTGAAGACAAATGTAATAAAATGAATAAATTTCGATTATTGGATCAAACTAATTTTTTAATGAAAATTATACATTAAGAGCTATATAAAATGAATGATTTGAATCATCGAAACGAAATTCGGAATAAGTCTTATAAACCCCTCAAAGTCTCTCATATTAAAATCTTAACATAAGAGAAGCTCAACCTTGCTGAATAGTCCAAGTTTTTTTACAATGTTTATAATTGGCACGGCATTAAAATTGACAGCCTAAATTATCACACACTTAACAGGTCCAAGCATACCATCATGCTTCATTCTTGTGAGGTAAATATTTTTCGCAATTTCAGATGTTTCATATAATTAAAAATAAAATTTAATAATTTTTTTTTTTTAAAGTAAAATTGTTTTACAAATTAAAGTCTTATTAATGCTATTTGATTATTACCGCTACCATCTCACCTCCACTACCACACCACCATTGCCATTACTACCATCAATATCATTATCGTCGCTGTCACCACCACCACCTCCTCCATCAAACATACCGTTACATAATATAGCTTTTATGGCAACACTTCTTGATGAGTTGTTGGAGGTGGTGATATGAAGTGGGAGTTGTCGAACGTGGACAAAGGTAGTAGCCAATTATGGGGGGTGACTGGAGGTGGTGGTGACCGGTGATGGGAAACGAAGGAGAGAATGAGAACATGTTTTGAAAACAAGAGGAGGCATCTTTTGCTTATTCATAAAATTTTGGAATTATAGTTAGTTTTTAGAAATTTAAAAAAAAAAATAGAAATTATCAAGCGTGATGTCAGTCAGACCAAAACAAAAGGTCCAACCAATAGGATGGTCACTGGTCAGGAAGATTCCCCGACTAACTTGATTCAATCGGGGAAAGAATAACAAAGCCCCAATTTTTTCGCCTTTTACTCCATTTTTTTGGATAAAAAAAATGTAAAAATTAATCTATAGATGAATTAACCAGTCCAAAAACAAACTATATAAAAATTGATCGTAAAACACTTATAATGGGTGAATCCCACAATGTATGGATCCCATTGCAGGACTCAACTCTGTGAGTATTCTGTGACCCCATCGTGGGACTCAATTCTTGTGATTGTTCTTTGACCAATTGTTCTTGAGAGGGTTATGTCTGATCATATGAACGGTTTTTAGATTGTTTCATTACCTATCGAG